TGCAGCCCTTGCGTACCCCGGCAGCCAGCGGAGCCCCAACCCTGCTGCGGGCAGACGGGGCGGGGGCACTCCTGGAACAGCTCTCCCCACTCAGGCCGGGCTCCAGGGCCCAGAAAGAGCCGCCAGGGCAGGGAGTGGTTTGCACCCCAGGGGGGAGTCCCCTGCAGCCAGTCCTGCTGGAGGGGACCGGAGTGGGGGGAGCAGGTCCCCTCTGAACACCGGAAGCCACAGGAGGGGCACGAGCCAAGCCCGCCTTTCCCGGGCCAGTCCGTCAAAGAGGAAAGCTAACTTTCTGAATGCAAGGATCCCTCCCTCCGGCTCTTCCAGGCTCAGCCCGGAGATCTATATGAAGCGCCCAGCTCAGTCGGACGAGTGGAGGCTGGACCTCATCCTGAAGCATAAAGCGGTGGGTGGCCTGCAGGGCTGCGCAGGACGAGGGAAGGGGCCTGGCTGTCTTCCCTGGCCGGCAGATGACCCTGCCCGCATGGCTCCCCTTTGCAGGAGCAGGGGGTGCGCGTCTGCGTGCTCCTGTTCAAGGAGGTGGAGCTGGCCCTGGGCATCAACAGCGGCTACAGCAAGAGGGCCCTGATGCTGCTGCACCCCAACATCAAGGTAAACGCACCCCTTCCATTGGGCACCCTGGAATTCAGATGTGGGTCTGCTGCCTTCTCTTTCTAGTCCCACCCGTCCTCTTGGGATTGGCCACTTCTCCCTCTTGCATCCAGAAGGAGCAGGACGTGGGGTGGGGTGGGAATTTTCTCAGGCTCCGGGGGCTTTGCATAAAACTCCTGCCCTCCTCACTTCTCCTGGCTTCCTCCTTGCACTCTTGCCCCCCTCTCTTTCTCTCCCTGCTAGGTAATGCGCCATCCGGACCACGTCTCCTCCATCATCTTCCTGTGGGCTCACCACGAGAAGCTGGTTGTGGTGGACCAGTCTGTGGCTTTCCTGGGAGGGCTGGATCTGGCCTACGGGCGTTGGGATACCCCAGAGTACCGCCTCACGGACCTGGATGGTGAGAACTGCCACGGCCCCAAGGTGAGCCGGTGCCCGAGCTGCCCCAGACCCGCAGCCAAGCTGTTTACTGCCTCTTGCTGCTCAACTTCCTTCCTTCCTTCCTTCCTTCCTTCCTTCCTTCCTTCCTTCCTTCCTTCCTTC